CCTCGTAAAAGATCCCCCCCACCCCGCCCCGTAGTAGGAAGGAAGGAACATTATCACCAGAAATGTAGACACAGGCCAAGAGAAATCTGTTCAGACCTTGTTAAAACAACTGATCCTCTTTTAGTCTCTCCATTGACTTCAGCTATTTTTCCACAATTGCCTTTCTTTGTTGAACCTCGTATATAAACTCAGCCCTCAACACTTCTCTGGGTCTTCATTTTCTTACGGAGGTTCCCACGTGCTTGCAAAACTCTGTATGCTTTTCTCCTGTAGGCTCATGTCAACTTCATTCTCAGGCCCAGCCAATGACCCTAAGAGGCTATAGGTAAAGTTTACAACATACAACACCTCCCCTATACCACGCTAGTGCCCTTAACAATATTATCTTATTTAATCCTTTTTATTTTACAATGAAAACTTAAATTAAGTTCCTTTTTACTTTTTTTTTTCTATTTTACTAAATCCCTTACTTAGTCTGCCTTTTTTTTTCTATAATTTTTTTTTTTTTTGAAATGAGTTTCATTCTTACTGCCTAGGCTGGAGTGTAATGGCACCATCTCTGCTCACTGCAACCTCCGCCTCCCGGGTTCAAGTGATTCTCCCACCGCAGCCTCCCCAGTAGCTGTGATCACAGGCATGCACCACCATGCCTGGCTAATTTTGTATTTTTAGTAGTGATGGGGTTTCTCCATGTTGGTCAGGCTGAACTCGTGACCTCAGGTGATCTGCCCGCCTCAGCCTCCCAAAGTGGTGGGATTACAGGCATGAGCCACCTTGCCCGAACTTTATTATTCATTTATTTAGAAACAAGGTCTTGCTCTGTCGCCCAGGCTGTAGTGCAGTGGCTGGAGTGACTGCAACCTCCATCTCCCGGGTTCACTCTGCATTTTTCCCATCAGAATATAATAATTACTTGAAACACAATGGATTATATTTGTCCTCATGTGGTTAACGAACTAGCTTTATTTAAATAAACTGCATTCCCTTACTTATCTTTTTTGTTTAAAAAAAAGTCAAACCTTCAGAAAGAATACAATAAGCCTTGTCTACTCCCATCTAGGCGCATCAATTTCTAATACTTTGCACACATGTGCACACATATGTGTACTTATATACATATGCAGTATTATTTCTATTTTTGTAGGTGATTTGAAAGTAAGTTGTGGACATCAATGATTCAGTCATGTGAATCATCCCTAAATACTTCTTCAGTATTACTTAAAACCAAAAACAGTGTTCTATATAACAACACCATTATTATACTCAAGAAATGTCGCCTCTTCATGATGTTATTTTGTACTTAATCCAAATTGAAACTTTATCAAGCATCTCCATACCATTCATAGTTATTATTTTCTTGTCAATTCACAACAGCTGTTATGTGTCTCTGAGGACACATAAGGGAGGGCCCTCTTGTCTCTTATGACATTGATTTTTTATTTGTTTTTTTTGAGACAGAGTCTCCCTCTGTCGCCCAGGCTGGAGTGCAGTGGCGCAATCTCAGCTCACTGCAACCTCCATCTCCCCGAGTCAAGCGATTCTCCTGCCTCACTCACATGAGTAGCTGGGACTACTGGTGGGTGCCACCACGCCTGACTAATTTTTTGTATTTTTAGTAGATACGGGATTTTACCGTGTTAGCCAGGATGGTCTCGATCTCCTGACCTCACGATCTGCCTGTCTCAGCCTCTCAAAGTGCTGGGGTTACAGGTATGAGCCACTGTACCTGACCGACACTGATATTTTTAAACAGTCCAGGCCAGTTGTTCTGTACAATGTCCCACAATTTGCATTTGTCTGATTATTTCCTCATGATTTGATTCAGATTAACATTTTGGCAAGTTATTTATATAGGGAAATGGAAACACATTTGTAAGTTCTCAACAAGCTGGTCAGGAGGCCGTTACTCCCTTTACCAACCTGCATTTGCCTAGCAGCTAGATTCTAGAGTGCCTGCCCAAGTAACCTGACATTTAATCCCCATCATAACCCTGTGAGAAGGCAAAATCGTTATAACGGTCTCTTCTTTCATAGTTGTAAAACTCTGAGGTTCAGAGGAGATAAATGAAACATTCAAAGTCACTCAGAGTCAGACCTCAATCCCACACCACTTCCTTCTGTATATCCAGCTGCTGCATAATAAATGACTTCTCAATGCCAAGATCAGTCTCTATGTGGCTAGTGCTGGAGCATCAGCCACAAGCCATCAAGGCAAGCCTGCCAATGGAAAGAACCCTTTCTCTTCTCCTCACCCTACTCCCATCCCCTCTGCTCCCCTTACTCCCATCCCCATCCCCTCCTCTATTCCTCTCCCTTACCCCTACTCCCCACATGAAATGGAAACCACTTATAAACTGATGGTAGTAAAATCCTAGCCTAGCAAAACAGACCGAAAATAATATTTGACTACATCTGAATTTCACTTAATGGGCTATCCATGGTGAACATATCACTTCCAGCTTCATATTAAGTTTATAGTTTTAGTCATTCTGTTATTAGTGCCTGGCTCAGCACTTTCTCCTCTTAGCTCTCCAATCCTCTTCCAATCTGAGGAGCTAAATACTTTGCTCCTGGGTTTTTTGTTTGTTTGTTTGTTTGTTTTTTGAGACGGAGTTTCGGTCTTGTTACCCAGGCTGGAGTGCAATGGCACGATCCCGGCTCACCGCAACCTCCGCCTCCTGGGTTCAAGCAATTCTCCTGCCTCAGCCTCCCAAGTAGCTGGGACTACAGGCACGCACCACCATGCCCAGCTAATTTTTGTATTTTTAGTAGAGATGAGGTTTCACCTTGTTGACCAGGATGGTCTCGATCTCTTGACCTCATGATCCACCCGCCTCGGCCTCCCAAAGTGCTGGGATTATGGGCGTGAGCCACTGCACCCGGCTGCTCCTGGGTTTTTATGTTTGTCTGTTTGTTTTGAGATAGGGTCTTGCTCTGTCACCCAGGCTAGATTGCCAGGGTGCAATCATTGCTCACACCAACCTCCAACTCCAGGGTTCAAGTGCTCCTCTTGTCACAGCCTCCCAAAGCATTGGGATTACAAGCACATGCCATGGTGCCCAGCTAATTTTTAAATTTTTTTGTAGCAATGAGGTTCTAGCTTTGTTGCCCAGCCTGGTCTCAAAATCCTGGGATCAAGAAATCCTCCTGTCTCAGCCTCCGAAAGTGCTGGGGTTATAGGTGTGTGCAACCATGCTTGGCTAACTCCTCAGTATTTTTGTCAACATGGTCTTCACCCTCGTCCTCCAACTGGATTCTCCCAAATATGCAACTTTTTAAAATAAAATGAGTCTAACAGCCAGAATCAACAAGAATTCAAACAAATCAGCAAGAACAAAACAATCCCATCAAAAAGTGGGTTATGAACATGAATAGACAATTCTGAAAGGAAGATACACAAATGCCGAATAAATGTATGAAAGAATGCTCAACATCACTAATGATCAGGGAAATGCAAGTCAAAATCATAATGCGATACCACCTGACTCCTGCAAGAATGTCCATAATCAAAAATTCAAAGAATAATAGACGTTGGTGTGGATGTGGTTAGAAGGGAACACTTCCACACTGCTGGTGGGAATGTAAGCTAGTACAACCACTAGGGAAAACTGTGGAGATTCCTTAAAGAATTAAAAGTAGAACTACCATTTTTTTCAGCAATCCCACTACTGGGTATCTACCTAGAGGAAAAAAAGTCATTATGCAAAGAAGATACTTGCATATGCATGTTTTTTGCTATTGCAAAAATTTGGAGCCAGCCCAAATGCCCATCAATCGTCGAGTGGATAAGGAAATTGTGATACACACACACACACACACACACACACACACACACACCATGGACTACTACTTAGCCATAAGAAGGAATGAAATAATGGCATTTGCAGCATCCTGGATAAAATTGAGACCATTATTCTAAGTAAAGTAACTCAGGAATGGGAACACCAAACATTGTATGTTCTCACTCATAAGTGGGAGCTAAGCTATGCCACAAACGCATTAAGATGATACAGTGGACTTTGGGGCCTCAGGGAAAGAGTGGGAGGTGAGTAACGGATAAAGGACTTCACACTGGGTATGGTATACACTGCTCCAGGGATGAGTGCACCAAAATCTCGGAAATCACCGCTGAAGAACTTATTCATGTAACCAAATACTACCTGTTCCCCAAAAACCTATTGAAATTTTAAAAATTAAAAAATAAAATGGATCTATAGCAGCATATATATAGACAGCTGCAAAAAAAAAAAAAAGCTTTTTCTATAAAAACTGATGCCTATGTGAACTGAGCATGATGAGGACATTTATCACACAGAAATTTTCATCTATCCATAAACTCTGATAGAACTTATCATCAAAGAATTGCTGTTATAATCAGCTGGCACAAAGAAATAGATTTATTATAGAGCATTAGAAACTTTATTTCAAAACTTGGATTTTATTTTATCGTAGTTTAACAGCAGTATCCGTGTTTTCTTTTTTTTTGTTTTTGTTTTTTTGAGACAGAGTTTTGCTCTTGCTGCCCAGGCTGGAGTGCAATGGCTCAATCTCAGCTCACTGCAACCTCCGCCTCCTGGGTTCAAGTGAGTCTCCTGCCTCAGCCTCTTGAGTAGCTGGGATTACATGCATGGGCCACCACGCCTGGCTAATTTTGTATTTTTAGTAGAGTTGGGGTTTCTCCATGTTGGTCAGGCTGGTCTCAAACTCCCGACCCAGATGATCCACCCGCCTCGGCCTTCCAAAGTGCTAGGATTACAGGCGTAAGCCACTGCGCCTGGCCCAATACAAGTATTCTTGAAAACAATCAATTCCTATTCTAGTGGAAAATGTAGTCATTTCATAAATAAAAGGAATGTCAGAAACAAAACAAATAACGTCTACAGAGTTATTATTTTAGAAAGTTCTCACTCAAAGCCAGTTTTCTTGCATTAGTACCTCAGTCAATAACAAGAAACATTGCTTAAAGTAAGCTAATAATTGTAGTCATTTTATGTACATACCAACAGTGTGGATGGCTTTCCTATATGGCATTAGGCCAAAATTGTACTGAAAAACTCCCCTGGCATGAAACAGGGGCAAAGCGAACCCCATGATCTTCTGTAGTTTCTCTTGAATGGTTCTAAGCCATGAGCCTTCAGGGTTGCTAATTTGTTTAAACAGCTCATTTTCACCAAAAGAAAACACTGGGACCAGACAGGCGCTGCAATAACAAAGGGAACAGATGAGAATTTTCAATGAAAAGGATTCAAATAACTTATTCTGTCCAGCAGACTCGTGCGACAAATCCTTAAAAGTTTTTTTAATGTGCCCAAGCCTTTCTATATTGGTAACTTCATGTTCATTGAAACTGCCTTAAACTTGACATTCTTTGGGGAGGAACTTCAGTTGGCTAGCCATTGACAGATGGAATTGTATTCTATAGAAAATTAGGGTTCTAGGTGGCCGGGCATGGTGGCTCACGCCTGTAATTCCAGCCCTTTGGGAGGCCAAGGTGTGCAGATCACCTGGTCGGAGTTTGAAACCAGCCTGACCAACATGGAGAAACCCCATCTCTACTAAAAATATAAAACAATTAGCAGGGCGTGGTGGTGTATGCCTGTAATCCTAGCTACTTGGAAGGCTGAGGCAGGATAATTGCTTGAACCTAGGAGGCAGAGGTTGTGGTGAGCCAAGATCCTGCCATTGCACTCCAGCCTGGGCAACAAGAGCGAGATCCTGTCTCAAAAAAAGAAAAGAAAAAGGTTCCAGGCTGGGCGCGGTGGCTCACGCCTGTAATCCCAGCACTTTGTGAGGCCAAGGTGGGTGGATCACAAGGTCAACAGATCAAGACCATCCTGGCCCACATGGTGAAACCTCGGCTCTACTAAAAATACAAAAATGAGGTGGGTGCTGTGGCACGTGCCTGTAATCCCAGCTACTTGAGAGGCTGAGGCAGGCGAATGGCTTGAACCCGGGGGGTGGAGATTGCAGTGAGCCAAGATTGTGCCACTGCACTCCAGCCTGGTGGCAGAGTGAAGGCTACTGTTTTGTTTATTTGGCTGGAAAATTACTCTGTGTGTATAGGAAGAATGTTGGTGTTTGTTGTTGTTCTCATTGCTTTGCTTTTAGAGTGAAGTTTAATTGCTGAATGTCATGGCATTAGCTACTGTGGTAAAAAAAAGTCATTATTCCTTTCCCCAAGAACTTCCAGACCTGCGTTTATTGTCAGATCGACTTGGGGGAGGTCTTTACGGGCTAGAAAATCACCTTACTTCTTCGTGGTTTGCTCAGTAATGTCTTAACTTTCCTGACCCACTGCTTTATACAAAAAGCCACTTACCCATGGGTCAAAGCAATTTTAACAAATCCTTTCCGCTGGCGGATGAACAGAGTGAATTTTCCAGGATGGGCATCCAGTGATTCTTCTGCACCCCCAAGGACAATGACAGAGATGTTTCCACCTCCATCCTTGCTTAGTACATAGGACACACTTTTCTTGGAAACTGAAACTGGCCCTTAGTGAATAAAACAAAAAGTGTAACTAATTATCCTTTTAAAAAAATTATGTTTTGTCATAATCTTCCATGACAATAGTAAACATTTAACAATCCTACACTGCTTACCTCTGCAGCACTGTGCAGGTTTGTAATTTTTCATAGCCAAATCTTTAGTAACGCATTATATTAGTAAGTTAGCATTTGTCAGGTAATTGGGCTAGATCTTTAAAATGCCATCTAATCATTACTAGGTCTACCACTTATTTCTTTAGGTAGGCAATGTGCTGAAGAACTCTACGGGATACCATTTATATTGCATTCTAAGTAAAAGAATCCCCTGCCCCTAGAGTTGTTCAGTGCACAACCTATACAGCTGTATGTGGTGGTCTTGCTACTTACCCTGGTGAATTTTTACACAGAACCAAAAGGTATATTCTCCAAGAGGCTGCAGTGGATTTTCTGAATATACAATGGCCTATTTTCAGATATTCTATATGGATAATTATTTTCCAAACCTGGATTTCTAACATAAATGTGATACTTATGTGATATTATGTTAGAAACACATTTCTAACATAAATGTGTTTTGCTGTGTCCCCACCTAAATCTCATCTTGAGTTGTAACTCCCACAATTCCTTTGTGTCATGGAAGGAACCAGGTTGGAGGTAACTGAATCATGGGGGCTGGTCTTTCCCATGCCATTCTCATGATAGTGAGTAAGTCTCGTGAGATCTGATGGTTTTATAAACAGGAGTTCTCTTGCACAACCTCTCTTTCTTTGCCTGCCGCCATCCATGTAAGATGTGACTTGCTCCTCCTGGCTTTCCACCATGATTATGAGGCCTCCCTAGCCATGTGGAACTATAAGTTCATCAAACCTCTCTTTCTTCCCAGTCTTGGGTATACCTTGGGTATCAGCAGCATGAAAATGAACTAATACAAACAGTAAAAAAAAAAAAAAAAAAATCAAGACATTTGACAACCTCGATCACTTGCCAGCTCTCTACACGCTTCCAAAATGTGTAGTCTGACTTTGGTAAATTGTTCATTTAAAACAGATAATTGTTCAGTCTATATTTCAGGCTTTCTGATGTAAAAATAACTTAAAAGATTCCTTTCCAGATTTTACATGTTCTGCGTACTCTTGGAGGAAAATATAGAAAAGAACAAAGACAAAAATATAAACCACTCTTGACCTACATTTCAGAAATAATCACTTTTTAATGTCTTATGTTTCCTTCCATTCTGGGCTTTATCCATTTTTATTCAGTCATAACAGAATGTGTTAGACAGGCTTTATAAAGACATAGCATATCACATCTCTTGAAGGAAATGATATGCTAATTTTACTCTGGGTTTCTATTATGGGAGGAATTATGACAGGATTCTGAATGACCAACTATCCTCTTCAGAGGCAGAGGATTCTAGGTTAGAGATAGAGAACCTGAGCCTGTCTAGACTGGTTTGAACCTTCACTGTGGTCAAGGCGTGCCATTCTGTTCTGTGTGAACCTGAGTGACAGCTGGGTGCATCTCTCCCACCAGGAAGAGGGCCTCTTGGGTTTGCACACACCTGGCTCTGGCCTCTGGCCACTTGTCTCTGGCCACTTCGCAGTTTTCCCTCAGTATCCCTGTCTTCAGGCCATCCTTCAACACTGCTATTTCTTTTTTCTTTCTTTTTTTTTAGATGGAGTTTCACTCTTGTTGCCCAGGCTGGAGTGCAATGGTGCCATCTCGGCTCATCGCAACTTCCAGCTCCCAGGTCCAAACGATTCTCCTGCCTCAGCCTCCCAAGTAGCTGGGATTACAGGCACGCACCACCACCCCCAGCTACTTTTTTGTATTTTTAGTAGAGCTGGGGTTTCTCTATGTTGGTTAGGCTGGTCTCAAACTCTCGACCTCAGGTGATCCACCCACCTCAGCTTCCCAAAGTTCTGGGATTACATGTGTGAGCCACCATGCCTGGCCCAGTGCTGCTATTTCTTAGTGGTCCTTCATTATCTCTCTTGTCCTCTAACACCCATGGATTTAACCACCATTTATGTGTGCTGAGCTCTCCCAAGTCCATCTGTCAGGAGATCTTCCTCCTGAGGTTCCACACCCATATCTCCAATTGCCTAACTGACAACTCTACATTGACAGCTCTAAGACACTTCAAATTACACATCTCCAAACCAAATGCATTAAATTCTCCCTCAAAGTGGTCCCTCTTCCAACACTATTTATCAAGGTGAATGGGACCATCGTCTATCTGGTCAAAACACAACTTCTTCCATATGTAGCCACGTTTCCCTTTCTTAGCCACCACATTGACTGATCATTCATTCATTTAAAAGCATTTATTGAGCACCTGCTACACGTCAGGTACTGGGCTAGATATTGATAATAATGACAAAATACAGTGGCTGCCTTCATAAGGATGAAACCATCACTAAGTCTTAGTGACTCTATCAAATTTTTTTTTTTTTTTGAGACGGAGTTTCGCTCTTGTTACCCAGGCTGGAGTGCAATGGCGCGATCTCGGCTCACCACAACCTCCGCCTCCTGGGTTCAGGCAATTCTCCTGCCTCAGCCTCCTGAGTAGCTGGGATTACAGGCACGCGCCACTGTGCCCAGCTAATTTTTTGTATTTTTAGCAGAGATGGGGTTTCACCATGTTGACCAGGATGGTCTCGATCCCTTGACCTCGTGATCCACCCGCCTAACCTCCCAAAGTGCTGGGATTACAGGCGTGAGCCACCACACCCGGCCCCTCTATCAAATATTTTTAATGTTAATCTCCTCTTCTGTATCTCCAGTGCCATTGCCAATGTTAGCTCAGCCCTTATCACCTCTCCCTTCATCACCCAACTGATCCCTTCCATCATCACAATCTCCAGGCCTACCTGCCTCTAACCACTCTCCAGTCTGTTGCCTGAATTATCTTTCTTTCTTTTTTTTTTTAAGAAAAAAGGAAGAAAGAAAGCTGGATTATCTTTCTATCACACAAAATCCATCAGATCCCTCCTTTGCTCAAAATCCCTCCAAGTTCCCCATGGCTTGTCTACAAGATAAAATCTAAAGTCCTCTGTGTGGTATATAAGACTGTCATGATCTGATGCTGTTATCTGTCCAGCCTTAAGGAGTAAACAGAAAGGAACATGAACCCTGAAAGACAGTCAGCTCTGGCTGACACCTGATGGGTACAAATACACCAAAATGGGACCAGAGGAATGGGCTGGAGGTGGGATTTAAAAGGAATTGCAGATGCAGAATCCTCTTGGGTAAGAGCAAAACAGACTGCTGTCAGCAAAGGCCCTCTGAAGCCCCATGATTCCTTTCTATATCAGCTCTGGTGCCTATTTCTGCCAGTCTTTCACACCCAGAGAGGTAGCCACTTGGGCAGGCAGAGTGAAGAGGGGCAGCCTTGGACCAAGGACTGTCCTAGAAAGCTAATTCTAGGAAGTATAGAGAACTTTCTAGACTTAAAGACAAGGATAGTCTAAACCTCTACTGGCTAAAAGTTTGAATATTTCTATTCTGAAATAACTGAAGGTTATACCACAGAAAAGAATTCATGATGTCAGAAACCAGTGATTACATTCTGTTATAAAGACAGGTGCACACGTATGTTTATTACATGAGCAAATACTTGGAACCAACTCAAATGCCCATCAACGACAGACTGGATAAAGAAACTGTGGCACATATACACCATGGAATACTATGCAGCCATAAAAAAGGATGAATTCATGTCCTTTGCAGAGACATGGATGAAGCTAGAAACCATCACTCTTAGCAAACACACACAGAAACAGAAAACCAAAGGCCTCATGTTCTCATTCATAAGTAGGAGCTGAACAATGAGAACACATGGACACAGAGAGTAGAACATCACACACAGGGCCTGTTGGGGGTGGGGGGATAGGGGAGGGATAGCACTAGGAAAAATACCTAATGCAGATGACAGGGTGATGGACGCCACAAACCACCATGGCAAATGTATACCTATGTAACAAACCGGCACGTTCTGCACATGTACCCCAGAACTTAAAAAAAAAAAAAAAATATATATATATATATATATATGAAACCAGTTATTGCAAACAGGTTTCCTCTCCAAAGCCAACGTTAGTAAACTGCAGTAGCTGTAGGGGCGCTACATGGAGAAAGACTTTAAAATGGAGTTTATGTGTCTGACACGGCCATGAAGAAGCAGGTTCGTACGTCTTTAGTGCCATGAATTTGCCAAACCTGCTCTCAACTATATGACTAAAACTCACCTGTGATGTGACAATGCTTTGAATAAGCAAGCAGTACACTTTAAATATGTTTCTGTGCGTTTGTGAAATTTAAACATTCTTCCCTGTAATTTTCTAAAACTCTAACACAATGAATTCAAAACAAGAAAGAGAAGTAATCCCCACCCTCGCCCCCCACCCGCAACCCTTGGTGGTTAAGAAGGGGATAGTGCACCCTCTGCAGGTCAGATACAAGATCTTCTGGTAGCTTGGAGGGTTTACTGCGCCCTCTAGTGTGCGCTCTGGCTCAGACTGGACTGAGAAAACAACCTGAAAACCCAGAGGTGAATCCTGGTCCTAGGGTGCTTAATGATATCCTACTAGGTATATAAATTCACAGGAAGTAATAAAACATTTGGAATACCATGAAGAATTCTTTTTTTTCTTTATTTTTTGAAACAGAGTCTTGCTCTGTCGCCCATGCTGGAGTGCAGTGGCGCTATGTTGGCTCACTGCAACTTCCACCTCCTGGGTTCAAGCAACTCTCCCACCTCAGCCTCCTGAGAACAGGGGATTACAGGCACCCGCTACCATGCCCTAATTTTTTATTTTGATATTTATTTATTGAGACCAAGTCTCACTCTTGTCCCCTATGCTCAAGTGCAATGGCCCAATCTTGGCTCATCTGCAACCTCTGCCTCTCGGGTTCAAGCAATTCTCCTGCCTCGGCCTCCCAAGTAACTGGGATTACAGGTGCCTGATACCACACCTGGCTGATTTTTGTATTTTTTTACTAGAGACAGGGTTTCACTATGTTGGCCAGGCTGGTCTCAAACTCCTGACCTCAGGTGAACCGCCCACTTCAGCCTCCCAAAGTGCTGGGATTACAGGCATGAACCACAATCACGCTCAGCTCGTCTTATTTATTTATTTATTTTATTTGTTATGGGTCCTCGCTCTGTCCCCCAGGCTGGAGTGCAGGGGCACCATCTCCAGTTATTGCAGCCTTGACTGGATCACCCGGGCTCAGGTGATCCTTCTACCTTAGCCTCCTGAGTAGCTGGGACTAAAGGTATGTGCCACCATGCCTGGCTAATTTTTGCATTTTTTGTAGAGATGGGGTTTTGCCATGTAGGCCAGGCTGATCTCAACCTCCTGGGCTCACAAGAGATCTGCCCGCTTCAGCCTCCTAAAGTGCTGGGATCACAGGCGTGAGCCACGGCACCCGGCCTGAACGCTTATTTCTGAGCCAAGTTATTTTTAATCTAGGAAGACAGCCAGTTGAATATGTTTTGCTTTATCACTGCTGTTACTTCAAGACACAACAAAAGACATGTTCCATTTCTAGTATTTGTAACAGAAGGCATGGTGCCTCTCCAAGGGTGTCATTTGTCACTTACTTGATCCATGATTTCTTTTTCTACACCTGAATACACAAAACACACTCATTACTTTATTTGTTCATTGTGTTAATATTCACTGATCATTTCTATGTTCCAGGCACCATGCTAGATACTTGGGATAGAACAGAAAAAAGGACATAGTCTATGTCTTTCTGACACTTACAGTCCAGTGGGGGAGGACAGGAAACACCCAGACAGCATAGGAAGTGCCAGATGAGGCTAAAACAGGTTTTGGCCGGGTGCAGTGGCTCATGCCTGTAATCCCAGCGCTTTAGGAGGCCGAGGCGGGTGGATCACCTGAGGTCAGGAGTTCAAGACCAGCCTGACCAACATAGAGAAACCCCATCTCTACCAAAAATACAAAAATTAGCCGAGCGTGCTGGTGCATGCCTGTAATCCCAGCTACTCGGGAGGCTGAGACAGGAGAATTGTTTGAATCTGGGAAGCAGAGGTTGCAGTGAAGCGAGATTGTGCCACTGCACTCCAGCCTGGGCAACAAAAGCAAAAACTCTTGTCTCAAAAAATATCCAAAGAAACAGGTTTTACTCTAAGAAACCATGAACACACATGGGCTTGGGAGGGAATGTCTGTGTGCTCCCGCTGCCCTGTGGAAGCATTGATCTGCCATCACTTACCACTGCTCATCAGATATTCTCGGAAGAGAGGACACCGGAACCAGAATGGCAGCACGTGAAGGTACGCAGTAAAGCCAGGGAACAGCTGCTTGAAGTCAGAATAATTTGTACAAAAGTTTCCAAAGGCTCCAGCCACGAGGATTCCATGGGGGTGAAACCCAAATATATAGTTGTGACTTGGATCCAAATCTTGAGTTTTAATGAGCTACAGCACATTCATATTGAGATTAAAGAAAGAAAAAAAAAAGTAAGTTCCCTTACTATTTTCCAGTGAGAAACAAAAGAACTAGTTTTTATGTCAAGAGAAAATGGAGAATATGACTCGTTTTAGCTCCCTGGATTGGAGCTGTTTCCAAATTTCTAAACTATCTTCTGAGCCCAGATCCCTTTATATACAGCCTTCTAGATTTTGTCAAGTCAGCTGACAGTTCATTGAGTAATTGGAACTGAATTGCAGCCTTTCTCCCTGCTATGGTTTCAATGTGTCCCCCCAAAAGTAAATGTTTAAAAACTTAATCCCCAAGGCAACATTGGGAGGTGGGGCCTAATGAGAGGTGATTAGGCATGAAACCAGAGTGAATGGATTACAACAGAAGTAGGTTTGTTATCTTGGGAGTGAGTTCCTTATAAAATAATGAATTCAGCCAGGCGCAGTGGCTCACACCTGTAATTCCAGCATTTTGGGAGGTCGAGGAGGGCAGATCACGAGGTCAGGGGTTCGAGACCAGCCTGGCCAATATGGTGAAACCCCATTTCTACTAAAAATACAAAAATTAGCTAAGTGTGGTGGCCTGCACCTGTAGTCCTAGCTACTAGGGAGGCCGAGGCAGAAGAATTGCTTGAATCCGGGAGGCGGAGGTTGCAGTGAGTCAAAATTGCCCCACTACACTCCAGCCTGAGCAACAGAGTGAGACTCTGTCTCCAAAAAAAGAAGAAGAAGAATGAATTCAACTCGTTCTTGCTCTTTCTTGGCCTCTCCTGCCCTTCCAGCTATGGGCTGGCGCAGCAGGAAGGCTCTTGCCAGATGCCAGCATCTTTGGGATTGGCCTTTCCAGCCCCTAGAACTGTGAGACATACATTTGTTTTCTTTATAAAGTACCTAGTCTTTGGTATTCTGTTATAGCAGCACAAAACAGACTCAGACACCCCCTCTGAAAAAGAAGCTTGAGGTATATGTGATGAAAACAGATTTCCACTCTTTTGCTAACTCAAAATAATACTTTACAAAACAATTGTACTCACATGGATTGGAAAATAGTCCTTAAAGTATTTCCACACAGCCCAATTTCTGACCCAGTTGGATCTCCTGCCTCCTTGCTCTGGGGTATTCCAGTCAAAGTAAAGCCACGTCAAATAAGGGATGTAAAGGAACCAATAGTTGTGGATGATCAACATCACAATGATCCCAATGCACACCTGCGCTGTAAGAAAGAAAAAGTCTCATGGAATCAGAGTCTGTTAGTAGCTGCTCACCGTAGTGGCCCATGGCACGGGGACTAATACATATAAGGTATGTTAAACTGAGCCTCAGTTGAGGTAAGGTAATAGAACCAGGCAGTGATGACACCGTATCATTTAACCTTTATTGGATGTTTACCATATGGCAAGCATTGTGTTATGGACCCTGCCAAGGTATCTTAATTTAATCCTCATAAAGCCACATATCAATAAAGTAGCCATAGTACTCTTTTTATTTTTGAAGGGGGAGGTGGAAAGAATGGATACAGGAAACACCAAGCCATACTTTTTTTTTTTTTGAGATGGAGTCTCACTTCGTCACCCAGGCTGGAGTACAATGGCGCAATCTCGGCTCACTGCAACCTCTGCCTCCCGGATTCAAGTGATTTTCCTGCCTTAGCTTCCTGAGTCGTTTGAATTACAGGTGTGTGCCACCACACCCGGATAATTTTTGTATTTTCAGTAGAGACAGGGGTTCATGTTGATCAGGGTGGTCTCAAACTCCTGACCTTGTGATTTGCCCGCCTCAGCTTCCCAAAGTGCTGGGATTATGGGTGTGAGCCACCGCACCTGGCCTCATAGAACTCTTAATGTTCTTTTTAAAGAAGACAAACAGCCGGCGGCGCGGTGGCTCACTCCTGTAATTCCAGCACTTTGGGAGGCCGAGGCTGGTGGATCACGAGGTCAAGAGATCGAGACCATCCTGGTCAACAAGGTGAAACCCTGTCTCTACTAAAAATACAAAATTTAGCTGGGCATGGTGGTGCGCGCCTGTAGTCCCAGCTACTGGGAAGGCTGAGGTAGGAGAATTGCTTGAACCCAGAAGGCGGAGGTTGCGGTGAGCCGAGATGGTGCCATTGCACTCCAGTCTGGGTAACAACAGCGAAACTCCATCTAAAAATAAATAAATAAATAAGACAAAAATGGAAGCTTACAGAGGGGTTAAGTGAGTTGCCCAAGCCACACAGCACCTAAGTGGCTGATCTGTCTGAATTGAAAGTCTAACTCCTTAGTCCTGGCTTTACATCTCCTCCCCTATGTGAATATGTGGAAGGATCATTGCCGACGAGGATGCAGAGAATTTCCTAACACAGGAATTCCCATCTTCCTACCTTGACCGAGCAGGCATTATTCATGTGCCTACAAAGAGGGCACATTCTGGCAACAAACTTCATTTTCAGGAACTGCTGTCAGACATAGAAATAGCAAAGGTGGGACCCTTTAGGTCTTAGCATGCATCACTTCTTGCAACATTTGATAATGAGCAAGCGATTCTAATTGTTTAAGCACCTAATAACATAGCTTCAAGATACACGGGGCAAAAACTGTCAAAACTTGGGTGGTAGTGACAAGTTTGGTTATCTTCAAGTAACACATGAAGCTCAGCTATATGTTTTTAAAATGTCTATGTTATATACTACAATTAAAAAATGTATAAAAAGAGAAACACGTTAGCAAGAGAAAGAGAACGTACATGAAGACATAAAGCCTGGCACACAGTAAATGTTCACTAAATGCCAGCTACCTTGACTTTAAGGAGTGCTGTTGTCGCTTTCTTTCCTATCATACACTGCAGTCTCCAATCTAGGGTTCACTTTCATCCCCAAGCTCTTATCTACTGCCAATCATCTTTGTTAAAAACAACTCTTTCCCCAAATGATCCACAAACTCTCCGAGAAATAGTACCTTAATCTATTATTGAAATATATTCATATGTACTGACATAGATGTTTTACCAAAAACAGAACATTCATATATATATATATATATATATATATTTTTTTTTTTTTTTTTTTTTGAGACAGAGTCTCACTCTTTTGCTCACACTGGAGTGCAGTGGCACAACCTCAGCTCACTGCAGCTTCCACCTCCTGGATTCAAGTGATTCTCCTGCCTCAGCCTTCCAAGTAGCTGGGATTACAGGCACGTGCTACTACGTTCAGCTAATTTTTTAATTTTTCAGTAGAGATGGGGTTTTGCCATGTTGGTCAGGCTGGTCTCAAACTCCTGACCTCAAGTGATCCATCTGTCTTGGCCTCCCAAAGAGTTGGGATTACAGGGGTGAGCCACTGCACCCAGCCTATTTCTATTTCTTAATACATATAAATCAACAAATTTCTCAGATATATCATTGAACCCAGTCAGCAAACTGACTTGCTGGTCTCTCTAAGTTGGTTAAAGGTTAAAAGACTAGATGACATGCAAATTCATAAAGCGTTCCATACAAAAAAAAAAAAAAAAAGACTGGATGAAAGGTTAAGGGAGCATGTGTCTTCTACCCCTCTGTGGGGTATCCTGTTACATTCTGGACCTGCCAGAAAAGTTTCCACGAGTCCAAAGCATGATGGAAAGAATGCCCTCTGTCCTCATTCCTACAGGATCATTCCATTTTGCTTCCTCTGATTTCTTCTATTCAGGCCCGAGTGCTGATGATTTGCCACTATTGGTTATTTTTCTGTTTATTTTCATAAAACGTGCAAAAAAAAAAATGACAGGAAACTTACGTGGGCCTCATTCTTTTGTACTCAAATCTTGATCAGGTAAGGTATAGTGAAACAGGGCAGGGAAAGAGCAGTTACTGAAAAGAGAACCATCCTCCTTCACTGTATATAGGGCATCTCATTCATTCCTCCTTGCAACCCTCAAGGTACATGTTACTGCCCCATTTTACAGTTGTAGAAACTGAGGCTCAGGGAATTTAAGCATCCAAAGGATTTGCGGCTGGATCTGCCTAATCCTTAAACCCACGCACTTTTTCACAAAGCCACATTATCCTCCAGCTAATGGCAATAACACTGTAGACAAACTTATGACAGGTGCATAAGCAGGTTAATAAGCGTAAAGAATCAGGCAAGTGGGAGGTTCTGTTTTCCTTACTACAAAGATGGAAAAACTGACCTCAAAAGCAAACTGACTGAATTTTAATCACAGAGTGAGCCAGGAAGAGATCCAGAAATAATGTCCCCAAGCTACTCATTCACTCTTCCACTAACTGAACTACGGATACCTGAACACATGCTGCATGTCTCTTTAATGCTCGTTACATGTTTTGCATCAAAGGAAGACGCCACGGCCAGCCGTGGTAGCTCATGCCTGTAATCCCAGCACTTTGGGAGGCTGAGGCGAGTGAATAACCTGAGGTCAGGAGTTCGAGACCAGCCTGGCCAACATGGCGACACCCCATCTCTACTAAAAATATAAACATTGGTGGGGTGTGGCGATGGGCACCTGTAATCCCAGCTGTTTGGGAGGCTGAAGCAGGAGAACTGCTTGAAACCAGGAGGTGGAGGTTGCAGGGAGCTGAGATCGTGCCATTGCACTCCAGACTGGGCCACCAGAGCAAGACTCCATCTCAAAAAAAAAAAAGAAGGAAAAGAAAACACTATAAAAACTAGGTGACTAGATAACCTCTATTTTCTATTTATATATATATGTATGTATATATGTATGTATGTATATATGTATGTATATATGTATATATGTATGTATGCAGGTATGTATGTATATATGTATGTATGTATGTATATATGTATGTATATATGTATGTATGCAGGTATGTATGTATGTATATATGTATGTATGTATATATGCATGTATGTATGCGTGCATGCATGCATGCATGTATATATGTATGTATGTATATATGTATATATGTATGTAGATAGGTATATATGTATATATGTATGTAGATATGTATGTATGTATATATGTATATATGTATGCATATGTATGTATGCAGGTATGTATGTATGCAGGTATGTATGTATGTATATGTATATATGTATGTATGCATGCATATATGTATGTATATGTATGTATGTACATATGTATGTGTATGTATATATGTGTGTATGCATGTATGTATGTATGTATGTATGTATATATGTATGTATGTGTATATATGTATGTATGTATATATATATGTATATACTGCATATACCTCTTTAATGCTCATTACATGTTTTGCATGCATAGCAGTTAAGATGTAGGTCTGGAATTGAACTGTTAGTTAGAATTTGCCACTGACTAGTCTACCCAGGCCAAATTCTGTGAGCTCTTGATCCTCAATTCCACTGCCTGTGAAATGGGCTTATGAAAGCTCCTGTTTCCAAATGCCATAAAGGGAAGAAATAACATAAGGGTGTACAGTGCCTGGCACAGAACTAGTGTTCATCAAATGCCAGCCACTGTTATAATTACTTTCTTTATTATTAAACATTTGGAAAATGCAAAATGTAGCTGCAGACAGAACATCAGGCAAGTTCCTCAACAAAAACTACTCTTAAACTTTTCCTTTTGACTTTTTTTTTAAATTTTTTATTGCATTTTAGGTTTTGGGGTACATGTGCAGAACATGCAAGACAGTTGCATAGGTACACACATGGCAGTGTGTTTTGCTGCCTTTCTCCCCTTCACCCACATTTGGCATTTCTCCCCAGGCTATCCCTCCCCAGGTCCCCCTCCCGCTGGCCCTCCCCTTTTCCCCCCCAATAGACCCCAGTGTTTAGTACTCCCCTCCCTGTGTCCATGTGTTCTCATTTTTCATCACCCGCCTATGAGTGAGAATATGCAGTATTTCATTTTGTCCTTTTGACTTTTTTATCCTATGAACAGGTTATGTTTCTTTAATATGACTGATCACATTTTCAAAATTCTGTATTTTATCACTTAAAATTGTGTCACATTAGCTGTTTTACAACCTAATGACTGATCAATATTCCATTGATGGTTAGTGCTAATTCAACCATTTTCTTCCTTTTAAACATCTGCGATTCTAACAATTTTTCTCTGTAAATGTAATCTTGCATAAAGTTTCCCCACATTTTGATTTGCTTCCATAGAAAAGAAAGAAGTAAAATATGGCTGAGCACAGTGGCTCACACCTGTAATCCCAGCACTGGGGGAGGCCGAGGTAGGCAGATCACGAGGACAGGAGTTTAAGACTAGCCTGGTTGACACGGTG